AGGCTCAGGCTCCGCCCACTCCAATTATTTTTCAACAACTCATTCCATCCGCAGCGGGATCTACAAACCAAGCTTCTGCGGATTCCATCTTCAATCCTTCACACCCTGACGTGGTGGACTATTTCACGCAACCTATCTGTAGGCGTTCTGTTCCGCCCACCCCAACCGACAGTGACAGTGTACACCGATGCGTCTCTCATTGGATGGGGTGCGACATGTGCAGGACTTCGGGTCCAAGGGGCATGGACCCGATGGGAAGTGGCGAGGCATATCAACTTCCTCGAGCTTCTAGCGATTTTCAAAGCTCTCAAATCTTTCGAAATGGTCTTACACCGCCAAGTTGTACAGATTGCGTCCGACAGCATAGCTACTGTTTTCTACGTCAACAAACAGGGTGGGACAAAATCACCTTTCCTGGCCCGTTTGTCAATGCAAATCTGGGACTGGTGCATTCCTCGGGACATCATGATGCTGGTGGTTCATCTTGCGGGAACCAACAATGTAGAAGCTGACGCACTGAGCCGACAGATGTCAACTACCCACGAATGGGAGTTGGATTGAGTGGTTTGCAACCAGCTGTTCCAGTTATGGGGACAACCGGATATAGTCGTTATTTGTTTTTTGGCGCCAGGCGAAGACCTTTTTATTTAAGCAGCATTTTAAATGTTAATATTATTGAATTTTATCTGGCCAGGGCAGCTTATTTTATATTGTATATTTGTATTTTATTTTAATGTGTATATTTTAAAATGTTATTTATGATGTTTTAATTTATTGTTGTAAGCCGCCCCGAGGCTTCGGCGAATGGGGCGGCATAAAAATGTTTTAATAAATAAATAAATAAATAAATAAATAAATAGACTTGTTCGCGACCCGGTTGAACAGGGCGTGCAAACTGTTCTGCTCCAGAGCGGGGCTGGGACTGGACTCAAGGGGAGATGCCCTAATGATCGACTGGAACAACCTGTTCTTCTACATGTTCCCTCCAATCCCACTCCTCATGAAGGTAGTGTCAAAGATCGTGCACGACAACGCCACAGGAATTCTGAAAACCCCATGGTGGCCAAGGCAACCCTGGTTCACCACTCTCCTCACTCAGTCCAGAGGAGTTTTTCGATGACTTCCACTTGTTCCTCATCTGTTAACAGAACGGGACAGTCCGACACCCAAACCTACTCTCGCTGAAACTAACAGCATGGTGCTTCCAATAGATCTGACGGCTCCGTTGCCGTTCCGATTGATGCAAGTAACTCCTTCCTTGGAACCGTCAAGGTCCATTTCGGGACCAATAGTGTTATCCTCGGATATCCAGGCCATTCTCGAATCTGCGCTACGACCTTCCACACGCAAATCGTATTCAGCAAAGTAGAGATGATTCTCTTCCTTTGCCAGTGCCTTTTCCTTCTCTCCAGAGTCAGCTTCGATCGAGAATATTTTGCAATTTCTATTCGACCTTCATCGCTCAAGACTCAAGCCTTCATCTATAAAGATCTATACGGCTGCTATCTCGCATTTTCGTGGCAGCATCCAGGGGTCATCTGTTTTTTCTCAACCCCTGATTCGCCGTTTCCTTAAAGGGCTACAAAATTTGCACCCGTCGGTTCGACCTGTTATGCCGATGTGAAGTCTTTCTGTTGTACTTCAGGCCCTTACAAAACCTCCATTTGAACCTTTGGCAACAGTGGATTTATGCCTAGTTTCATGGAAAACTGCCTTCCTTGTTGCAGTTACTTCAGCCAGAAGAGCCAGTGAACTGTGTGCTCTGCACATAGACCCCACCGTTCTTGAACTTTCACAAGGAAAAAGTTGGCCTCTGAATGGACTCCGAGTTTCTTCCCAAGGTGGCTACACCGTTTCATTTGAACCAAGACATCGTCCTCCCTGCGTTTTTTCCATCTCTGTCGACTCCGATTGAGCGCTCTCTCCATACGCTGGATGTTAGGCACTGTCTAGCGTTTTACAGGTCTCACACAGAAGCATTCAGGAATTCCAATAGACTTGGGCTGCTTCATGTACTTTTGCCAAGCATTATCGGCTTGATGTCCGCGCCAGAAGGGATTGTTCCTTTGGTAGAGCTGTGCTCTCTGCCATTCTTCACTGACAACACCTTCCCTCCTCCAAGTCTGGTAAGCTTGCTAATCACCCATATGTGTGATGCACAGAGGCCACGACGAAGAAGAACAGGTTGCTTACCTGTAACTGATGTTCTTCGAGTGGCCATCTGTGCATTCACACAACCCACCCGCCGGCCCCGCATGTGTCAGTGAGTGGACTGTTTTTTCTTACTGTCGGTTTCGTGTTATTCCTACGGTACTGATTTTTCTTGCTGTGATGCTGTTTTTCGGGGGCGAACGTTGGTCTTCAAGAGTGAGTAAAATGGCGTACGCTCTGCTCTATTTATACTGCAGGGGGGAGGGGAGCAGAGCATTTTCCCGCCAAAAACTGTTAGCTTTCTAATCTTCCGGCCTAGGCACTGCACAGGCGCAGCACCCATATGTGTGAATGCACAGATGACCACTTGAAGAACATCAGTTACAGGTAAGCAACCTACTCTTATGCCAGTCCATGGTTTTAATAAATCTTTGATTTAGAATCTTAACAGTCCATTCACTCAGTGGTATGTGTAGTCTTAATCCTTAGATAAATGACTCATGTTAGTTAATGTCCTAATGTATAAACCTGCAGTTCAAAAGGCTAACTTCAGTTTCTGTAACCAAACTGAGCTCAGAAAGAGCTGTTGCAGAAAAAGTGTGCAGCTCATTTTATGATCTGCAGTCTGCCTGCTATATTTCCTCATGGCCTGGGAATGACTGTTACAAGTATATGTATGCAAGGCAGAGAAAAAAATCTAGTGTGAACCTGCCCTTAACATGGTTGGTATGGAAGAGTCAGAAAGGCCACCTAATCCAAAGCTCTACATTGAAATAAGACCTTGTGTACCCAAGCAACCCTAACAGATGATCCCATACTGCCCAGATTAGAGCATGCCATGCTGCAAATGATCAGCAGGAATGAACAGGCTGCCAACAAAACAAAGGGTATATTTAGTATAAATAAATAACAATGATTGTTGACAAAAACATTTGAAAGGCTTAAAAGTTTCAAGCTGAGAGGGAGAGTTTATATTGTTTCTTTGAGGTCCTTATCAGTTAGTTATTACTGACCTTTGAGGGGAGGGAAACATTCCTGCAATTACCCAAATGATCTGGATGGTGATGGGAGTGTTGCTGAAGGCTTAATATGTTGCTGAAGGTGGAGCATCCTCACATTGTTGCCTTAAGCTCATTAAATAGACATCCTAATAGAGATTTTAGTGTATGCTTGGTGTTTGTTGATTAAAAACTTCCTGTGCTAAAAGTACATTCATGGATCGTTGGCATCAGGTTGTGCTGCCTTATGTCAAAATATAGAATACGGGCAATACTGGCCACATGGTGATCTGCATCATCAAGGTGACAATATGTATTACTTTTTTGCTATTGAAAGATCAGAATGAGAAGACCAACTTAGCTACTGACCAGATGCAGGCATTTGTTGTATTCAGCATTGTGTATTTTTAGAACTAGTTAATCTGGAAGTTGCCATGCCTCTTGTTCAGGCAAAGTGTTTTTTCCCCTAACAAGGTCATTTGCTACTTTGTAATTTATCACCCAGGATTGGCATAGCTGCAGCTCTTATATTCTCAGGACTTCTATTGCCAAGCCTGGCCTGGATATTATTATAGTGCTGGGAAGGATACATCCTTCTCTCAGAGGGATATCAGAATGCCAGGATGGCAAGACTGAATGATCCAATTACAAGCCTAGTTCTCTTATTTCTCTCAATGACAGCTGAGGACAGGTATTTGTCCAAATCAGTCAGATCACTTGTCATTTTTGATGGTATTACTCTTCATTGAACTGACACAAAATGCAGTTGTGTTGCACTGCCTGATCCTGAAAATTACGTGAGCAAAAGACAATATGATTTCTGGAATATATTGATATAGAATCCTTTCTTTTTTAAAGTGTAGGTTATAGTTCAATATTTCAACTGCAGGCCCTGCCATGGCCAGAATTGTACTGTGTAGAATCTTTGCGTGCCATTACTGCTCTTCCTGTGCCACAGACAGCTACAGCCAAGTGTTGAGATAAATTCCAAATGCACCGTGTTTGCCTCTTATCCAAAGGTGTACCTTTGAACATGCCCCCAGAATGCCCTGCAAATTCCTGCTCCATATGATTGATATTGGCAGAGTAGGATGTCTGCAGTCCGTAGTTCTGTAGTCTGGACTGCAGAGCATTGTCTATCATTATGGTCCCAAAGTGCACGCTGTCATATTCTAAATTCCCTACAATTACAGCAACAAATGTGTTTATCCTGAGCACTTATTCTTTGCTTCCCTCCATGCTAGCTTTGGGATAGATCAGAATAGGGGGAGGTCAGGCCTTGAGAATGAGATTCCATGATAGTCTTGCAAATAACTTGGAAAGTTACTGACCCGCTTTCCCATTAGTAACCCCCCTCCACCACTAATAGGGCTGCTTCTAGGTACCCACTTCCTGCAGCTGCTACCCAGTGTGCATCGTAACCAAGGCTGGCACTGGTGCTTAATGCTGTTCTCAGAGGTACCACAGCACTGGCACATTGCTGTAGAACAGTGTTTCCCACCCTAGCTGGCTGGGAATGATGGGAGTTGTGGTCTGACACATTGGAAGCATGCCAACTTGCAAAGCGTTGCTATTCAAACTTAAACATGCTCCCCTCTCAGACCTAGTAACTGTTCAAGGCAAGAAGAAAACAATATGAGAGTTGTGCTTGTGTGGTCAGCACCATGCTGTGCTATGACAACTGTAGACACAGCTCTAGCTCTGGGTTCAATAAGTAACATCTGGCCACCTGCACCTGATAGTTACTCTCTACAGGAGTCTGAGCAAGTGCTAAGCTATATGATTGATTTATAACAGGTTTCTTCTGTTTTTTTTCTTCCTCACCCCCCCCTTTTTATTTCTTTCATCTAGTGGTATTTCATGCACCACCCCCTGCTAAGATCAAGAGGGAACTCCACAGCCCTTCTTCTGAACTGTCCACCTGTAGCCATGAACAGGTGCTCTGTGCTAATTATGGAGAAAAGTGCCTCTACAACTATTGGTAGGTTGGGTGGGCTTGTGCCACACAACTAAGATGCCTTTGGATGGTTGGGAAGGGATGGTTGGGAAGCATGGACACTGAGTTGTGTGCACATGGTTAGCCAAAGCAATCCCATTTTCAGCAGCTTGCCACAATGGTGATGCTGAAAGCCTTTAAAGGGCTGTCTAGCTGGGGAAGTGAGGTGCATCAAGAACATATTTTATGGCATTGCTTTGGCTCTGTAGTACCTCAGCAGTGCAATTCCCAGTCTGCACAAAGAACTGAAGCAATAGTGGCCTCTCGTTTTTCTAAATATATATTTAATGCAGAGTTGGGAAACCTCAGGCCCAGGGGTCAAATCTGGCCCTTCTTGGGTCCCAGTCCATTCCTCCAAGGTTTCCCAAATGGAATCTCCAATCATTTTGTAACTTCCTGGCTATTGTGCCAATTTTGCTCACATTCTGAATAGCCGAAGTGCCTCTCCTAAGGCTGGCAAATTGGCAATAAGAGGTTCAAGATGCAGTAAGCTGAGATTTGGAAGGAATGTGTTGCACTCTTTTGTCTTTGGCCCTGCCAACCACTGGAACGCAGCCCCTGTGATGGAATTCAGCTCTTAGGCTGAAAGAGATTTCCCATCTCAGGTTTAATGGGTGAAAGGAACATGCAACTCATTGTGTATCTCGGGCCTTATTGTAAGGCAATGTGAAATTGTCCTTTGCCAGGTTCTTCCATGTTGACTTGCCTTCCTGTACATGCTTCCTTATTAAACATCAAAATTGGAAAGCTGGTTTGGAGTCAAAATGCACGTTCTATGTTTAGGTGGGTTTTGAAGGCTGGAAGGAAACTAATCTGGATTTGTGCTTATCATGGAATAGGTGCCTCCTGGTGTTTTGAACTACAACTTGCCTCAGCCAAGCTGCATGATAGTTATGGGAGTTGTAGCCCAAAATGTCTGGAGGGCATCTGTTTGCCTACCCCTTGTGTTTACCAACTCTTGAAAAACATCTACAAGCCCATCCAGGGAGTCCTGATTGATAGGCCTTTGCAAACCATTTGACTAATGCCTAACAAAACTGTAACAGTAAAGAATGAGCTCCACTCTCTAAATACTCCATGTAGCTGACACATATATTTGTGGTAGGTCATCCATCCAAAAAGCATAATACGTCTTCATGGAAGTGATACTTGCGAGTTCATAGAGAGTCTTTGCTCTTCTGGATTCTAAAACTCTCCCTAAGTATAAAGCAAACACACTGTTGATATTTGCTAGTGTCATCTTGGCAAGACCTTTTCTGGATATGTGTAAAATAACTCCAAATTATTGGGGCTGGGTGACCATTTCTGTCTTCTGTCATGTATGCAGATTCTTCCTATCTATATTTGCATGTGATCTCAGTTGAAATCAGCATTTATTTTATTAATTATATTTATAATGAAATCTATAAAACAAATTCTCTAAGCATTGAATATTTCAGAATGGAATAAAATGCAAAACTCTGAAAACAAACTACAATATAAAATCAACTGAATAAAATACAAAAGCACAAAGAAAGCCAACATGATAAAAATATAATATAAAAACCATCTAGTAAAATGAAGAGATAAAAGAAGCTGAAAACTAAACATGAGTCTAAAACTGCCAGTGTATAGCAGGGACTAAAATTGCATTGATTCCAAAAGCCTGGAAGGACAGAAAGAAAACAGTGTTGTCACCAGGCAGATTTCTGTGGGGAAAGCATTCTGTAACTGGGGGCCAGTACTGAGAAAGCCTTATTTCTCTGGTAGCCACCATCCAGACATCAGAATGAGGGGAGACTCAGAGAAGACCTCTGTATATTTATTTATTTAAAACATTTGTATGCTGCCTATTGTGCCACAGCACCTCTGGGCAGCTCACAACACAAGATAAAAACATAACATATTACACATTAACACTACAATAAACGCAGTAAAACAGTATATGAGCTTAGGATGTCAGGTGCATACATAGATATGCATGCATGCAGGTGCAAACACTTTCTTCTCCTTGCCTGAGTAGGGTAGGGAGATAAGTTGCATTTGAAGCAACTTGCAGAAATGGCTATATGTTAAGTGGGCAGATTGTGTAAAGTACTAGAGAGATGGGGGAAGGGAAGGCTATGTTTCCCCTTCGGTACCATTGGAAGCTACAATTATCTCTGAGAAAATTGTGAGAGAACGGTTTTAAAATGAGCTGTATGACTCAGCCTGTTTGTCACTTGCCTGAAGTACAAAGATTCCCTTGGGGCTGTGAACAACCTTAACTGTGACTTCCTGACAACCATGAAATGCAAACAAGCCAGAACTGTCAAGAGCGGCAAGCTGAAGCTGGTTTACATTGTGCCCCTCTCTGTTTTCTCTTTGCACAGTGCCTACGATAGGAAGCCCCCTACTGGGTTCAAGCCATTAACTCCACCTACTACCCCAGCATCACCTGCACTCCAGACCACCTCCCTTCCACCCCCACCTCTGCCAACCACACCTGTGCAAACCCCCACCCATGTCGCCACCGCAGGCCCTTTGCAGGGAGTCCCACCTCCACCTTCTTCTCATGCTCTTCAGGAACCAAGGCAGCAAACCTTTGCTGTACCTCGGCCACCTCATCAGCCCATTCAGATGCCAAAGATGATGCCTGAAAACCAGTATCCAACAGAACCCAGGTAAGACAAGAGCCTTTTGTTTTGTTTTCTGGTACACAGATTGAGGGTCCTTGCCATTCAATGGAGCATTTACTTTGCTACCTGAATGCCCAGACTGTTTAGGAATGCCATTTCCGATTCTTTGAAGTTGGGTAATGTAATCTAGTGCAGAGTGGAGACAAAAGTTCACATCATCAGAGCTATGACTCATAGCTGACTTTACTTGCCTGGCATCTAAGGAATGTGGCTTTCTGATTGGTTATGAAGCACAGGGCACGAAATCCAATATTATACGAGTGGTCTTCTGCTCAGGAGTTTCACTTCCTTTCCTCCCTTCTCAGTCCCCTGAACACACACCCCTGGCATACCAGCCTTCTGGAAGAGGTTTCAGGGTCTGCAGGGAGGAGAAGAAATTTGATCTCCTAACTGTGTTTGTTCCACTGGCAGAAGGACAACTGGACAATAGTTTAGTTAGCTGTAGTTTATATTAGATGCTTTTCGTTGTACATGTAAGCACTTTGAATCATACTGTTTTAATACTGAGCATCAGGGAGTGTTGGCCCTTTATACTGCCTTACTCTTCAAAAGGAACAAGTCAAGCGATTTTCTTCTAAGACAGTGAGAAGTAGAGTGAAACAGCCTGGCCTCCTATGTCCAAAGTGGAGTAATTTCTACTACAGAAGGCCAAGTTCTTGGCTTATAAAATACTGATCAGTCAACATTTAGGTTGTCTTCCAACTTGGACTGTGACACTATATTTTAGAGAGTCATATCTTGTTCCACAATGAAATTTTCAGGGCATCTTACAAAAACTGAAGTAGATTCAAGTCTTTTGTTTCATTTCACAGGGTCTATTTATCATGCTTATATTTACAATTTAGTGTACAATTTAGTGAGTACAGACTGAGTACAGAGTACAGGTTGTCACATGTGTACCGTAAACCCAAAGTTCACAACCCAACAACAAAACGTGTTATTTCCTAAGTTCTTAGTGGCGAATAACCCATGGTTCAATAACAACCCATATTCAACCAATACTCTGGATTGTTGTTACATGTGAACCAGGCCATAGGCGATTGCTGTCACTGAAACTCAAATGAGAGGTGGGGGGTGTTCTTCATAAAGTCCTGTGATCCCCTTTTCTCCTGCTATTAGATTAAATTTACCCCCGAGACAAAACAGTGAGATAATTTATCATCACACATATGCCTTTCTTTTGCAGCTGTTGCTGCTTCCTTCCCAGTATTGCTCTATTTGCTTTTATTTCAGATATGTTGGGCTGCATCTCCAACCATTCCCAATTTTGTAGATTGGGCACAGGAGCAGGCAACTTTCTTAGTGCTGCTCAGACTTGGTGCTCCTGTATGATATTTGTCCAGTCTTTGTCATTATACTGTATTAGTGCTCTCCCTGCTTTGTTTTTACAGTGTGAAACAGCTATACCTTCTCCTTCATACCTTGTGCCTCTCTTGGCAGTAATTATTTTCCAATTGCCAACTCCTGTGGTGAATGGTATCCCACCAGTTCAAGGTTTTCCTGAGAGCTTGATAGAAGGCAATATATCCTTCCACAACCTGATGTTCTCCAGATGTATTGAATCACAGCTACCAGCAATCCTGACCGTTGGGCCATACTGGCTGGGTCTTATGGGAGCTAGCTCCAAACATATGGAGAGCATCAAGCTGAGGAAGGCTCCTGTAACTAGTTTGCTATTTCAACCATCCCATCTCTGCTAGAATCCTCTTTCTCTGGGAATTGGGATTTGTTATCCTGTGCTTAGTGCAAACAACTCTGAAGCTTGCCCAGTGTCTCTTTCAATCACTTTGGTACAGCAGCCAGTTCAGGGATTTTATTAGGCTCTTCCTATTTCCCTGAATGCTGAACTGCAATCTGAAAGGCCATCCATAGGGACCTAAAGTAATGGAATTAGACCACTTGAGCCAATGAGCTCTTCTGTTATAGTTTGCTGTTCAGGAAACAACTCTGCCTTTTTGGGCAGTGCAGATTTTCCAACTTCTTACAGTGCATGTTTTTCAGTCTCCTGAATGATTTGCATGGTTTCCAAGCCTTCTAGCTGGATGTTGATGCTTGTAAGAACCAGCACATAACAAGGTGGAGATTCTTGGAAATGCAGTTAGTCCAAGTGTCTGTGTGCCTCCTCCCCATAAACAAGGATAGGTTTATACTGGGGAGATAACCAAATATGTAAGAGCTCTTAAAACAGTTGGAAGGGGCAGACTTGAAGGTCAGTATGCAAGCCTAGCTCAATCTATCTTGTGTCAAATGCAATGAGAAATGCTTTGCTAATCTCCACTAGTAAAGAACCCAAAGGCAATGAATTAAATTAACATTAAAGCATTGAAAGCTTATCTCCAGAAAGAACTTCTCTCATCTTTCACTGTGACCCTTTCCCTACCTCATCTCCTAAAAAAGCAGCACCTCTCTATCCCCAGCATCTAAAGTTGCTTTTTAGAACCCCGCAGGCACTGCGTTCCCAGTGACCTTAAAGCTATGCTAGGGACACTTGGCACAGCCCCATCTGGAAGTGACTCTTCCTGTAAAGGCCATACCAGCACAGCTCTAGAGTTACATTCTGGAAGGTTAGAAGGACACGGATCGGAAGTAGAGTAATCTGGGCCTGTCAGCTGTGGAGGATCAAGTTACAAAGCCAAATGGAGCCAGTGTGCCTCTTGGTGCTTGGGAATGTAATTGATTGCTATCAATCAACTTTCAAGTTGCTAGGAGAATGGGAGAGGGTGCATCTTGCTTACTAGCTTCTCAAATTTCAGAAGTAGGAATATGAGGACTCCAACATAGCTTCAGCCCCCACAAGGGGCAGCATAGAAATAAATTAATAACAAAAACAACAACAACAACCCTTCCCCCAGCCTTCTGGATCCTGATCCCCCAGACGTGTTGGACTGGAAATCTTGTGATTGCAGCCAATAATCCCTGGGTATGGTTGGAGGTGCAGCCCAACACATCTGGAGGGCACCAGATATATGGCAGGCTGCCTCCCCTGTCATTTATTTTATCTGGGGCTAGGTGACTGATGCTCTCTAGATGTTTTCGACTACGGCTCCCAGACTCACTAACCATTAGTTAAACCAGGAAGTTGTAGTCCAACTGAAGAATGCCAGATTGTCCAGATTAATCCCCTTGTGGGGCTGATTTAGACACCTCAGCTCAGGTTTTCAGGTGCCCATTGTCCAGATATGCAGATTGTTATGCTGCTACCCTCTGGGTATAAACTCCTGATAGGGACCTCTGTGGGTATGCAGTCCCCACAAGCTGGCTCTCTGGAAAGAAAATGTGAGGGCAGGTGGAATCCCAGGAAAATAATCCTGCTTCTCTTAAATCATTTCCCACCCAGTTCAGGATCCATCCAAATTTGGCACTTCCATGTTTAATCTGGAACCAAGGAAGCTAAAGTAACATCTGGTCATGGCCCTTAAAAGAGAAATTATTTCCCCCAAACTCTTTAGGGTAGAGAAATCCCCCTGGCTGGAATCCTGATGTTCTTTCAACATATTTTCTGGTAAGATCTGTTAAGTCTGACTGCCCAACTTTCCATACAGCCCAGCAACTTTTCAGAAAGTGCACATTTTTTCCCTGTGTGGAGAGTTAAAGGTTTAATCCCTAGCCCCTTATAGGCAGATTAGCAGCCACTTGGCACTCACAGATTGCTGAGTGGATTCAGAATTATGTAACCATTTGTTTGTTTCTTTGGAGTGAAACTTGGCCGCAACAAAGTCGTTGTCTCCTCTTCTTCCCCAAAAGGGCAACTGCCTGTCTCTCTCATTGGGAACAGTCTCTTACCCAGTTGCAGGTCTAGTTGGCATGGCAGGGTTGTCATGCTGTTGCTGCTGTAGTCAGCTAGTTGCTTCTGATGTTGCGCCCTCATTGTGTCTACACCATGGCTGCCTCCTTCCCCACAGTGCTGGTGCTTTGATCCAGTTCTTCAATTAAAATGAAAACATCCAATCGGAGATCACACTTGTACCATGATGTGTCATTTGGCCCTGCAATGAGAGTGTTTGGGGGTGAACCACAGGCGAGTTCACTCTAGCGTAAAGAATGGGGTGACCTCTCTCGTCCTTTCAGCTGTTGTTTCCTGGATCTTTCCCAATTGCTGTTGGCTGATTCGGCAGAAAGGAAAAATCGTTAATGCCTAGCTCTTTCTTATGCTAGGATTCATTTTGCCTCCATGTCTGCTAGGAGAATTTTTCATCATTTATGGAAAGTTAGGTAGTCAGAGTCCTGGGATGGATCTTCCTCCATATCCTATATTGTTTTGGCTTGCCCTTAAAAATATAAATGTAGCTTTCTTCACCCAGTACATTTCTGAGAATCAAATGGAGACTTGTAGGAGGTAATATGGGAGTTGTTAAGTAATTAACCAGTTCTGGGAAGGGTGAGCAAAAAGTCCTTATTTTTCTAGACTTCATGGAGAACCTTATTTTCATACCAGTGTTTGATGTAAGTTAACTCTGAGAAGTTTGTCTAAAACAGGTTTCCCCAACTTGACACCCTCAAGATGTGCTGGACAGCAATTCCCATCATTCTTCCATTGAGTGAATGGAAGAATGATGGGAAAGGGAAGCTGCAGTCAAGCACATCTGAAGGTTACCAGGTTGGTTAAGGCTTACCAAGAGCTCAGTGAGGTTTGAGTAACACCTTTCCCTTTATGCTGTCTGATGTTTGGACCCATCCGTTGCAGTCCTTTAGCTGCATTCCTTGGATGTCCTATAAAGTTCTTTTTAGCCTGTGTGCTGTTTGTCTCTGTAGAATACTTTTTCAAAACAGGGCATGTGTTTCCCCACCAAACAATTCAGATATTAGCTCCTTGTTTGCAGAAAGGTTTGTAAGTCTTCAAAGTGAAGATGGTACCACAGAAATCTGAAAGGGAAGTTGCAGTGTTCCTTCCACTCCCAACAAACTGATATACTTCCATGCTTGAGTTATTTTTACTAAAAGTGATTTTTTAATACATTGAGTGACTGAGGATATGATTCTGAATTTATCTATTATCCTCCATTTGTCTAGGAATGTAAACTGGAGGAAAAGTTTAGATTTGTAATAACTCTCTCTCATTCTCTCATTTTCATCAAGGTTTCAAAGACAAATGTCTGAACCTTGCCACCCGTATCCTCAGCCAGGGCTTTCTGGAGACAATCGTCCTGTCTACCATAGGCAAATGTCAGAGCCTATTGTCCCTGCTGCTACCCATCCTCCTCAGGGATTCAAACAGGAGTACCATGACCCACTCTATGATCATGGGGTCCCAGGCATTCCAGGTCCCCCAACACATGGATTCCAGTCTCCAATGGGAATCAAGCAAGAGCCCAGGGACTACTGCATCGATTCAGGCAAGTGCTAGATTTGAATCCACACCAACAACCCCCTCCTTCCCTGGCCTGGTTGCATGTATGTGAGTACTTGCTTCTAGTGTCTCTCATGCCATAAAGCAGATCTTCTGTATTTACCATATAGTGTATGGCCTTCACTGACTGGGCACCTTCAAGAGTAGCCCCAGTAAACACAGCCAGTGGTCAGGTATAATGTAAGATATAATCCAAAATATCTGGAGAAAACCAGGTTCAGTGTGGCTAATAAGCCTATTTTCAATGCAGCCTCTGGACTTGTGATACTAATCAGATTGCAGTCACAGAATCTCTCAACCATTTTTAAACATGACTTCTGAGCAATGCTGCAAATTCCAGCAAACCTTTAGTCCTCTTAGTTTGGTTTTGAGGAATAGCTCAATATCTGCTGAAAGGTGTGTGTGTGTGTGTGTGTGTGTGTGTGTGTGTGTGTGTGTGTGTGTGTTTAGAGTTTGAAGACAACATCAAACAGTTCCACTCAGGCCAAGAAAGGTTTGTGGCAACTGCTCCTCTCTGCTTCTTGCCACAAAGGGAGATGGACACTATAACTGCCATCCCAGTAAAGTTATCAGATGCAGTCAGTCAACCTGCTGCTCTTGTGCTCTGCCTGCAGGAATGCTTCAGGGGGCTTCCCCTCCACCCAGGGTTCCCTTAAAATGGTGGTCAGTGCTGTTTCTGCACATTCTTGTTCAGGGAGAGAGGAGCAGCTGCCTTTTGTGCCTGTCTTTAACCTGCTCAGACCATTAGATTATCTCTTTCTGGCTTAAAAAATAAATTTAAAAATCAGGCATTCAACAGATGTAGCAGAATCTAAGCTTCCATAATCTGAAAAGCATTACTGGGCTGAAGTGGGTGGAGGGGATGGAGGCAGTTTTGCACACTTTTGTGCAAAAGCTCTTCCTCTTCCCACCTTCTGTTCTCCATTGGGCGGCTATGAACCTGCAGCTGACTTTGGATTGCTGCTGAAAACTCACCTTGGGATATATAAATTGGTGGGGGGATGCCTGATCACTTGTTAGATTGTGCAGCTGCTGTTGATGTTCAGCCCACTACATAACTGCAAATCGCCTTAGGCCTAAAAATACCATGACCTCTCAGAGGCAGGGGTGGAACAGATGGGAAAAGATCTAAAGTTAAAGGAATTTTTCTCTTCTCACCCTGCTTCTCACGTGTTGTTGGAGGGAATACAAAATACAGAGCTTCACTTTGAGATGGTGCTTCAGTGCCTTGAGATGGTGCCTTGAATACCTTTTTCCTGACTGATCATGCAGGTTCATAAGCGTGTCTTTCACATGCTGTTGGAAAGGGATACCGGAGACCTTTGCCTTCGGGGAGAGACAGCTGCAGCAATACAGTGGATTGCATTACAACTTCCAGGAACAATAAGTTGTACCTGTTTTTCAAGGGATTGTATCATTGTCCATCAGTTCAGGGCATCTCCTGTTTAGCAGCTGATTCCTCTCATCTCTTAATGCCTGATACCAGTGGGTAAATAGCCTGTGCACATGGGAAAGGAGCCAAAATAGTTCTGAGGTTTAACCTCTCTTGGGAGTCTTTTGTTTTCATAGAAATGGGGAAATTATGGGAAGGGTTGTAGCTGAGTTACAGAGCATATGATTTTCATGCCAGAGGCCTCTGGCTTAATCCCTAATATCTCCAGTTGAAAAAAATAAGTCAGCCTTCCTCAACCTGGTCCCCCTGAAGGGTAGCTGATGGATTCTGGGAAGTTACAGTCCAACCCAACCAGGCAGCACAGACTGGAGAAAGCTGGATTAGGTAGGATGTGAAGGGTGCCTGAGAATAGCATCCAGTGTTGATTAAGGCCATGTGTGTGTGCACACATGCACAAACATGCACATGTGCATACACATGGGATGGGCTCCTTTGGGGTTGCTAGGGCAGAACAGAAGCTAAAGTGATGAGAAAGCAGCAATCCCAGCTGCTTCAGAGTCACTGGGGAAGGAAGCAGACTCAAGTCTTCTCCTCACCTCAGGAACCCCAATTAAGATCACTACTTCCTGACTACTGCTAGTGGCAGTAAACCAACAATCCTGACTGCTTTGTGGTCACTGAAGCCTTTTCTTGTGCAACCCCAAGTGAAACCACAGCCTTTTCTACACCGCCTAGCTGATTTGCCAGGCTGTGGGGAAACCTGGGTGGGAAAGTCCTCTGCTTAAGGCCCCGGAGAGCTGCTGCCAGTCAGTGTTGACAACACTGGGCTAGATGAACCAATTGCCTACGATTATGGCAGTTTCGGTCATTCAAATTAATATTTAGTCTTTATTTTGCTTGCCAAAATTTGAAAGATCAGGCCTTCTAACAGGTTTATAGTATTGACTTTCTACCGATTCAGGAGGACAGTCATGGGAAATACCTTGTCATCAGACTGACCTAAACAGCTGGCAGGCACCTGGGGAACTTTAATTTCAGATACCTGGGAATTTTTGCACTGGTTTGGGGCAAAGCGAGCTTCCACTGTAGGGGTTGCTTCATGACTCCCATTCGTGTCTCAATGACTGCCTGTAATTCTGTGGGTTGGTTTCAGCCTGACAGAGAACCAGTTAGGGCCTGCAGCACTGCTCCACACATAGTAATGTGAGCCTTACTATGCCTCTACCACTGCTTGGTTACAGGGGTTCCTAAAGCAAGGTAAGACATGCTTCCTCATGCAGCTACATTCTGCAGATACCTGGCCTCACCCCCCAGTGAATTTTCAGTTTCCAGCACCCCTAGGTAGGGCTCGGAAAAAAATCCACCTGAATTTTTGAAGAGCTGCTGGCAGCCAGTGCTAATTATATTGGGCTGGAGGGACCAAGGGCCTGACTCAGTAGAAGGTAACTTCCATTGTGCCTATGTTCCTAATCCAAACAAGAAATGAAGTGTATGAAGGTTGCAACGGTATTAACTGTAGGTCCTTCTTTATTTCAGAAGTGCCTAATTGCCAGTCAGCATATGTGAGAGGAGGAGGCTACTTCCCCAACAGCCATGAGGGTAAGTGAGTAATTGGTATATACATAAATAAGCGAGAGATCTCTGTGAGCATGAGAGATAAAATGGCGAGGTGTGCTGGAGTGCAGCTGCATGTGAGGGCCAGAGTGCACTTTCTTTGCAAATAAGTCCTTTGAGAAATGGTTGAAAGAGAGGGTATATTTAGCCTGGAGAAGAGAAGACCAACGGGAGAGGCAACCTTAGCATTCACATATCTGAAAGGCTGCTGTGCAAAAGAGGGAGAGGAGAGTTTTTCTCTGTTGCTCCTGGGGGCAGATTGGAACCCCTGGGATCCCCAATCTCAGTTGTTCAGCAGTGGACTAAACAGCCTTATGACGTGGCGGGCTCTCCTTTGCTGCAATATTTGAGCAGAGGCTGAAGGAATGCTATACCAGTATCCCACATCACGGAGCCTGCATTGAGCTGAGGCTGGACTGGATGAACATTGAGGATCCTTCCAACTTAAGACTCTAAAATCAGAACAGCATTGGTGTTCATGTCTCTGCTTAAAGCTCCTTATTAACACACAAAGAAGTATCAAGGCAACAGTGAGAGGCAGCTGCTAATAATACTGATGACATCTTAGGCATTTATATAGTACTTAACAGTATTCAAAGTTTACTTTAGTAAACAATCCAGGGTTATGTGTTATCCCCATCATGCACATGGGAAATGGAGGCTGAATGACAGCGGCTTGCCCAAGACCACCTAATGAGTTCAGCAGTGAGATTTGAATCGGGGGCTTCCTGGTGTGTATTTCTTTCTTATATTTGAAACCTCTGATCTCTCTCTTGCGGTCCTTTCCTTGCCAAAGCCTGGCTCTTGGGCCAGTTAATATCTCATTGTTGAACTTTTAATGGTGTGCGGTAGGCCACTATCTCTTAGCTTCGATTTCCTGTTTGCATCACAGAATATCAAACATTCCTGGCTTGAACCTCCTGGCAGAAGTGGATGTGTTCAAATGGTCCAGCAAGCTCAGGGGAGGAGCTGTGCTGGGCATTCAGTGCTGTTTAAAAAGAGCAATAGTCCTGAAAACACAGCACAGCCACGTCAGGCTTTCCTCCGTCAGTAGAATGCTGTGGCTGAACTTCACAGGCAGCAAGTCCCTAGCAAATCTTCCAGCCATCCTTAAACCATGCAAGGAAATTGGCAATCGCAGAGTGAGTGTGCAGTCTTAAAGCTCTTAATTATATTTTTACACCCTCACATTAATTGGATCAGGGAAGCCAGCTTTATTCAGATGATGATGTTATCTCGATTTTGCTAATTCCCCATCATCTTACTACAAGCTGTTCTGGTTCCTGGCAAGTAGATGAGCAGTGATCTTTCAGGACTAACTGTCTGACAGCAGTTTCCTTCCTTGGACATGAACATGTCTCCTTCCACTTGTTGAAGAGTGCCTTCTTCCATTTTGCCTCCTTCCTCTTTTGGCACAGAAGGTGAAGATGCCACCTGCCATAGCGGCCTGAATTCGTATGAAATCCTTCCTTTGATGGAACCTTTATCTGAGCAAACAGCATCTTTCTCACATGTGTATGAAGACAAAGAAAAGGGAAGCTATCTATAAAATCATGATTTCACACTGAAGCAAGCCCATGTGGCATTGTTTGAATGGAGTGAGAAGACAATGCTGCATGGATGCATTAAGGACTCTCTCACTTATGACACATTTCCTACATGGATAATGGATTCTGTGTAGGAAATTTGTATGTATTCCATCCTGTGGAATGGTACAGCAATCCTGCTGAAGCTAAGCAGAACACTGGATGCTCCCTTTTACTGAGTCAGACCATGGTCCATCATGGTCAGGACTGCCAACAATGACTGGCTGTGTTTCTCCAGGGTTTCAGGCAGGGTTCTTTCCTAGAGAATCCTTGGAAAGGCAGGGAATTGAGACTGGGGCCTTCCGCGTGCAAAGCAGATGCTCTGTTGTTGAGCCTGGGCCTGCTTGGTGCCTTGACAGGAGACTGCCAGGGAACCCCAGGCATTCCACCTTGATTTCCATGATGGAGGAAAGGAACAATGTAAATGGAATAGATGTGGTGGTAGGTGCATGTGGCAATATAGATCCATGGGTCTTGATCACTGGAATCAGAAGAGGGATTTTTTTTAACAAGCTGTTGATTGTTTTTATTTGTACAGAGTTAGAGCTTAGATTTCATGCTCTTGCTTTTCAACCAGTTTGCAAAGAATGCAAATACCTTTGTTTAAAGATCAAGTCTTTAAACTGCCTCTTTTCCAATTTAGAGGAAACAATCCACAGCACAACCCCTTCTTCTCTTAGTCAGGCTTGCAAGCACTTTGTCAAAAGAGGCCATGTCATGCTCTGCCTCTTTTAAGCTAAGAAACCATTTGCAAATTGACTAAAGGAGGAAGATTAGATTGAGTCAGTCCATTGACCTATAAACATTTACCTGGGAGTAAGTCCTGTTGAATTCAGTGGGACTTAAGCTTGAGTAGTCACACATAGGAGTGCACTGTAATTGACAAATCCAACATTGCACATCCTTCAGATCTTAGTCAAAAAATATGCCCCTTTTTTGTTTTGATTTACATGCCTGCTCTAGGAAGCAGCCACAATTAGGAAAATGAAATGAAAAGTTTTTTTCCTCCTGCAGTGAGGCAGTAACCCTCACTTCCCGCATCCTGTTAAATCTGTTCAGTTTTCTAGCTACTTATGTCTGGATCAGAAGCAGAACCACAGTTGTCCTGAGAGTCCAAAGAAATAAGTCTGTGCATAGGTTTGGAACAGCCTTTCCCTGTCTTGTGCCTTTCGGATGTGTTGGATTGGCCAGGGATAGTGGGAGTTGTTGTCCCACACATCTGGAAGTCATCAGCTGGGGAAAGCTGATTTATAGTGGACATAGTGATCAACAGTGTATATATATTGGGCAAGACTTACCTGTGCAGTTTCAACACATGGGAAGGAGATTTCCTCTTAAAGCCGTTCAATTTAACCCTTTTAGATTCTAGACAGATCTATTCGGTTAGTTTAAGCAAAACTTTAGGATACCTTTTAGATCTCTCTCTCTCATTCTCTGTGCGTGTGTGTGTGCGCACGCATGCATACATACACAGGGAATAGGGATTATGAGTTACAGGCATACTGATAACTCCTGCAAGCGATGCTGGGGAGCTGTGCTGAGGTCTATGCTTGTCCTTGCCAATCTAAATGGCCAGATAAGTACTAGGAGAATCAGTGCAGGAGGCATAATCCAAACAGGGTGACTGCAGCCCAAGAAACTTCTTTTGGTTGGTGCTACTTTGGTTACAGATCTCTTTCCTTCACTTGCTGCTGATCATTTCCATGTGAAACCGGCCATGAACTGGCTTCCCGGACAAGTTGTCGGAGTTATGAGAACAGCAATTGGCACCTTTGCAGTTAAGCCCTTTGAAGCTTTACTGGTTGGTTTCAGCAAATGGCTAAGTACATCTCACTGACATCAAGAAGCAAAGCAGTAGCATGAACTGAACCATCCAGGTTTTGTGTTGTGATGCATTTCAGAGAATTAAACAGAACTTGTGATAAGCTCATGGGCATGTCTTCTCTCCTCCTAGGGTTCTCCTATGAGAAAGATGCCCAATTGTACTTTGATGACACCTGTGTTGTACCAGAGAGGATGGAAGGTAAGGAATTGTGTGTGTTGCAGGAACAGCGGGGAGGGGTGGGGGGCAGGCATGTGGAAGAGAGCTCAGCAATTACTGCCTTAGCCAATAAGCAGCCCTTCCATGTGCTTCACAAGATCTGCCTCGATTGTGCCCTATGACTCTGGCTGAATCTGCTAAAAGCCACTGGTCATCAATAGTATACCTAGGTTCCTGTCCACCTGAAGATAGGGCATATGAAAGGACAGGGACTCCCACAGTTGGCTGCCTATGCAGCACCATCTCTCTGTGAGGCGAGATGCAGAAAACAAGTATCACCTGCCAGATTTGCAGCTGCTTATTTACCTGCTTTTAAAGAAAGTCTGTAGTTGTTTGGAGCAATCTAGAGCAGGAGAAAGTGAGGCTAATAGAATGTCCATTCTGACTGGTGTGTGATGGTGTTGTTGCTGTAAACAGGTAAAGTGAAGCAAGAACCCACAGTATATCGTGAAGGGCCTCCTTACCAGAGACGGGGGTCACTCCAGCTGTGGCAGTTCCTCGTCACGCTCCTTGATGATCCAGCCAATGCCCACTTCATTGCCTGGACTGGCAGGGGCATGGAATTCAAGCTGATTGAGCCAGAAGAGGTAAAAGGAAACAAATCTGACTGAGCCTACCAAATTGGCCATTATGGTTGAACTTCCACTTTCCATAGCTGAATAGGAGGACTAAATTTCAGCATACAGAATGGTTGGAACCCTGCCAGAGAGGCTTCCCCAACCTTGGCCATGCTGACTGGAGCTGAAGGGAGTTGTAATCCAACATAGGACACCAGGTTGGGGAAGACTGTATTGGAATGTAGCAAAGGAAAAGGATGCAACAGTTTGAAGTTCAGACTGAGGCATTTAAAACATTCTGTGTCATCTTGCTCTCCTCTCTGCTGAGAAGAGAGCAGGATGAGACCTTATGGAGGCTGATTGAAATGCTGCTGCTTAACTTACACTGAACTATGGATCAGACCACCTGTTAAGGGACGTAGTTGGTGCCTCCCATTGCGGGAATCTTTTGGTTCTCACTCATGCAAGAGTAGGTCATTCGGCCCAGGGACAGGGAAAGCATGGAGAAGGGCTGGTCTTTAAACATGAAAACTATGGGGTGCCTCTTGGTCAGTGGTAACATTGGGGATGTACCAGAAGAATGCAACGATTTGCTACTGAGCTAAAAGGAATATTATGTGGGCAGTTCATGTGGTGCCTTGGCAAGGCTGATGCCTCTGCGAGATCCCCAGTGCATCATAGTTAATGACTTACTCCCAGGTTGCAATTGGTCATTTTCCTTATGAATCAGCCTGGGGCTGCAACAACAGACAGAGCAGCTGCAAATAAAGCCTTTTCTGGCCCTGTGTAAATCTGCTTATTGAATCTTCTCCAGTCCACATTAAGGTCAGACAGTGGAACCACAGAGCAGATGGCACAAGGCCCGGCTTCCACATTTCTTGCTGAACCTGTTGAGCACAAAATTGCTTGGTTTGGCTGTTGCTGTGCCTGCTAATTTGCCAGCAGTGACTCCCCTGCTTTAATTGGTTAGATTGTCTTTCATTCTTTAGTGTATCTTATCTAGGTTTTGGGATTGTGCAATTTGGGATTGTTAGACATAAATTGTTACTGGACTATTAGACTATTGTCCAACACACAGATGCTGGAATCTCTGTAGTGGAAGATTTTCTTTGAATTCAGAAGACAGCATTGCTAGACCTCAGGCTTTGGCTAGTTCGTGAGAAACATGAAGTTTCATTCACTTTCTGAAATGTGGCTTGGACCCAGAGAACAGGCATAGAGGATGTGCAACTCTTGCCAGCACGCTTTGTACATATGTACTAGAACTGTAGTTGCCTTTGTTTGATACTCTCTTCCCCACAGCAGGAGGAAGGATCAGGTGAGCAAGAGTAGTCCAAGGGCTCCTCCAAATCTGGTGTTACAGAGGAGAGGAGATGAACCCTGACCTGAAGCACAGGTTGAAAGCTGGGATTTGTTTTCACTCTGACTTGCTGGGAGGTGGAGGCAAAGGTCCAGTTGCCTATCCCTGCACCCAACAGTTGTGCTGTGGGGCAAATCCATTTAGCAAAGTCTGTAGGTAAGCAAAAGGTCAAAGCACAATATTATGAGTCCAGAAAAAAGGCAGTGTGAAAGCAAGGTTGTATTCAGAATCCATAGATCAGCAGCCTGAAAGATAAGTCCGAGGAAACACAAGCCCAAGAAAGCTAAGTTTTAAGGCACTAAGAGCTGAAATAAAAGTGATGTTTTAGGAACCAGCAGCTCTCAGCTGCAAGTTTATAAGCTGGAACTTCCAACCCTGTAGTGCATCTAAGGTTAGTGGGAAAAATTCCTCTTTGTGAGGCGGGCTTTACTGACAAGTCCTCTTGTCATGAGGAGCCTTCCTTTGCAAACAGACATACCTCTTCACAGCATTTGTTCTGGTCTGCCTCTTGAGATGTTGCCATGCTCAGGGTCTTGGTGGTTGCTCAGCCGCCAACTCAGAGACAGAGTTCCCCTCCCCTTGTGGGGCTGGACCCATGGCCACCCCTCATTTCAGTGTCCTGGCCAAGTTGCTTGTCCCTGGAAGCCTTAGCTCCTCCTCTGAAGAGGATTCCTCCATTGGGGGTATAAAGCTGATGAGTGTTCTCATCTTGGTGCAATGGCAGCTCTCTTCTCCCCCGCCCTGCCCTGCCCTGCCCTGAGTCCAAGCTTAGAGCATGAGATTTTCTTCTGGTCTTGTGCTGAGTGTCAGAGAAGAAAAAGGTCAGGAACAAGACCCTGCCTTTTGGGAAAGGGGCAGGCCCGGACAAGGAAAAACATTTGGTCACCAAGACCAGCCAAAATGCGCTACTTCTCAGTTTTTGTGTTTTGGCATTAGATTGGCTTGGTTTTTATCTATATCTTTGGTCTTTTACCATTTGATTCTGGGCTATAGTCCTTCCCTGTGAGTGCTTTCTAAAGATGGCATGGGTTCAGCAAGCTTTTTCAGCAGCAAGGAAGCTGCTACATAAACACTGGAAGTCTGATTGCTCTCCTAGAGTTGAATGGTGGGTAGAAGGAACTCTGTATAGTAGAAAAGGTTTTATGCAGAGACTCTTGAAACCATAGGCTTGGAATAACTAGACCAAGGCACAGAGCCAGTTTCCATAGAACTTTGTCTCCCCCGCCCCCCCGGAAATATAAATTGCTCATAGACATCAATAAAGAAGTGCAGAATTCTGGAGCAGCTTCCATTAGACAGCAGAGTGTCCACCCAGAAACTAAACTTAGCAGCAAAGATGGGAGTTCCTGTTCTTTCGAACATGGATTTTATGTTGTGGAAATTATCTTTTTTTTAAAGATCTGGGTTTTAGATATTTTAGAAGTATAAGATGACTACATGCAGGTCAATGGAACATGAGACTTCTGTGTGTGGCTGGGTGCTGTTTGCAGAATTATTTTTAAATGCTTAGAAGCTCCTCTCCCCTCCCCAACAAAATTAAATGCTTCACATGAAATAGATGCTTATTTCATTTCATTCCTTTTCACTAGTTGTGGCAAGGTCTATTCTAGGGTCCAGGTACCTTGGCAGAATACCAAGGTACCTAGAATGCCTTCTCCGTTACTAGCGATCCTAATTTAAAGCTTTGTCAATTATTTCAACTTCCTTCTTGATAGCCAACTTTGTTGTGTCTTGTCTCTACCCCTCCATATACTGGAAGCTGAGCTACTGTGAGGCACAGGGAGCATAGCAGCCCCTCAGTCATTCCCTAGAGCAAGTGTGAAGTGTTGGATCGGGGACCTGGGGGATCCAGGTTCTATTCCCTGGAGCTCACTGGGTGAGTTTGGGGCAGTCACTCACTCTCAGTGCAGCCCACCACACAGGGTTGTTTGTCATTGTGGCAATAAAATGGAGTAATGGAGGACTATATAAGCCACACTGGATTCATTGCAAGAGGCAGAGGGAGGATATAAATATACTGTCATCATAACAATCTCTTCACACAGAATACCCCAGAATGACTTCTGGGTCATTGGTACACAAAACAAGATGGTTTCCAAAAGCTGCTCCATGCTTGCACACTGACAAAGTAAAGGGGGGTGTATTTATCTTTTTTTAGCTTACTGAGGGAAGTGGTGGATCTTCTCAGGGCATAGTGGCCCCCATAGTGGCCTGAGGATTTCTGATACAAAAATTGGCCCTGAGTTTTGGGATGGCTTGCCTCGTTTTCTTCCTTCCCTTCACCTCTTTCCCTGACCACTGCCTTTGCTATTTGTTTCTCACTAGCTCCTGGAGGAAAGTTGCAGGTAAGATGGAATATGGTATTGTACAAATATGTCCAATATAAAGGGCTATTTATATACTTCTATTATATCCTGCCTTTCTTTCTTTAAGGAATTCAAGGTGGCTTACATAATCTCCCTTCTCCTCCCAGTCTTATCCTCATGATAACCCTATGAGGTAGGCTGGGCTGAGAGTTAGGAACTAGTCCAAAGCCACCCAGTGAACTTGGTGGCCAAGTGGGAATTAGAGCTTGGATCTCCCAGAGAATCAAACACTTGTACTGCTAAACTACACTGGCTCTCTCAATTAAATGTTGCCGATTAAAAAGCAGGCAGCACATAACAAAAAGTCTAGCAAGATTTCATTTCTTGCTGCTGCTTCTCTTTTCACCACCACGGCTTGTCCCTAGCTACCCCTACAGAGCTCACTGACTTTACATAGCAACTTCCCATTTAGCAGGTACAAAGCATGTTCTTTTCTCATAACTAGAGGTGCAAGAAATCTACCCCTAAAAATACATGCTAGAAAGCTAATAGCAGTAGTGAGAAAAACAATTATGTTGTTTTGACACAATATAATTGGATAAACATAAAGCAATAATGTACAATTATTCAAAAATGGAAAATTCTGAAAATAGAAACCCCCCCAAATAGATGCAACACATAACTAAAGAAGCATCAAGGTCCACACTGTGTTATGGGTATAAAATTGCTCGGAGGTCCATCAGTGCAGATGAGATGTTCCCTTAGTGTTTGGAATAAATGCTGATGGAAGGCTGGCTCATTCATCCGTTTTAGATAATTCTTATTCATAGGGAATGTATGAGCAAGAATGGGGGTGGGGAGGAATCCATCTGTTTGTTAATCCATGGCAGAGCTCAAAAACAATTGGTTTCAACAAGCTTAAAGACTACAATGAGTCTTTAAAATTCTCTAAAATTCTGAAGCCCTGTGGTAATTATAAACTATTCTATTTATTATTGTTGCGTATGAAGATATTAGATTTTTTTCTAGTTACTTCTTAAAAGTTCCAATACCTATAAAACATTGCCACTGACTAACAAATGGGTACTTTTTGTGGCTGATGTATTGTGTTTCCCATAAGTAAGTATAATCCAGAGTGGATAAATGAATCAGTCTCTTACCAAAATTGATCCAGAAGATTAATACCAGAGCATTTCTGAGCAGTGTACATTTACATTAGATTTTAAACATTGATGTTTCCAGTCATGCGCCACAGTGCATTATCTTTGAATATTGATCTTTCTTCATTATATTGACATTGATTGATTGATTGATTCCCAGTTTTACATATCACTTTCACCATTGTGCTGGAGAGGATGCCATCACATTGGTTCTTTAATACATATGCGGCCACTATGCTCAAATTGAAACTAGGTTATTTCTACAGTATGTGGAATTTTGGAATGGCGAATTCAAAACTGTGGAGCCCTAACAGCTACCTTCAGTTTTCAAAGATAAGAACAAGCACCTTTTAGAGAAAATCTTGATTGTTATACTTGTGGCTGCCCAGCTCAAAATTACATTAAATTGGAAATCTTCTGCTGGACTATCAATACAAAAATGGATGAATAGATCATGGAGGGGAATGTTCTTTCTGAAAAGCTGCTGCATAGGCTGAGACTTCTAAAAGGATTGGAAAACTGAGACTTATTCATAGAAGTGTGATATCCATTTATCTCATATGCTAATCTACATCCAGCAAGCCTGCACCTGCAGACTTCAGATTCTGGAGTGATGCATTGTAATTCTGCTAGCCTCATCATCTGTATGTTTTGTTTTGTATTATATTAAAACTCAATTTAAAAAATTAATCTGAAAAGGTAGCAATGATTGGTTCATTGATTATTACTGTAGGTTTTAAATCAGACTTCTCCAAGCTTGCACCCTCCAGATGAATTGGACTGCAAGTCAGAATTCCCAGCCATCGCCATACTGGCTAGAAATTATGGGAATTTTGTTCATACTCGTTTGGTAGATACCAGACTAGAGAACACACACTGGGACAGCATGCGACTGTTTTTGTCATTACTGCTATTCACTTCCCAGCTAGCATGCTTTCAGGGGTAAATTTCTTGTGCCTCCAGTTTTGTTTGTATTGGCTCCTCCCTTTCCCTTCCCAGCCCCACTCTTTTGGTGAGGGGAGTTGCTTTTCTCAGTAAGCTTCAGACACTTGGCTGTGCTGTGAAAAAGGCTTTTTTGTTCATTTTCACTGTTATAGGCTTTGCTCTGTTGTCGCCCTGTGGAGACACTGGTTTTGTAAATAAACCCCTGAAATTACTGAAAGGAATCTTGTGGTGTGCTGGGTTGTGCTGAGTGATGCAGAGGAGGAAGCTGTTTGGCTAATAATTGAAACCAGCTGCACAGTCAAGCAGTGCATGGTGGGTAATTATCCATAATATACAGTACACTCTGCATGGAAATTGTGGTTTTTTTCAAACAACAATTTGGCAGCCCCCTCCAGTCAAAAGGTCTTTGATACTCTGCCGCTTCACTCCCTCTCTGTTTTGAAAAGGCATGCGCTTTGATCTCAAGAGCACTTTAACCATGGGTCTGTACTGCCTGGCAATTCTTCGGTGAGAAGGCGAGGGGAACACAAGTGGGAGATGAGCAACTCCTTTGCCAGCCCTTGCTCCTGCTGTACGAGGCTTTGCATGGGACACCTCTGTTCTCCACATGTTGTCTTCTGTGGCAGCATTGCCCAGTGAGAGGATGAGAAGCACTTTGAAGGAGCTTGTGGCTTTCTGTACTGCGCTTGTATAGCAGCAAGAGGAAGCTCTTTCCTGGTGATTGAGCCCTAATCAAAGCCTGGGGGTTGAGAGAGGATTATATAACAACAGCTCCATGGCTGCTTGAAATCTGTGCATTGACAATGCGCTCTACTCTTTTCCTGCTGTTGCATACATATGCAGCAAGCTGGTGTCTCAACATGCAAAATGAACCACCCTGGAGCCAGCAAGGGGAAACCGTCATGCTATGTGTTATTGAGAGGCCTGTTGCAATGTGTCAGCTTAAAAGAGAAGGGCAGCATAGCACTGGGTTTGCGTCTTTTCCTTCTTTGACACTGCAGTCACTGATGTGCTATTGAATTCATGAATCCCTGTTATGTACACACAGTTGTAGCTGGCTCCAAATGCATTCCTCCATAGGGTGTGAGGGAGAGGGATCCAAATTTGACAGGAGGACAGGAGCAGGTGAGAGTAAAGGGGAGCTGGGCTAGCACCTCTGTTGCACTTTTTCCTGTGGCATTCATTGAAGCTCTGCAACCGACAGAGCACAAGCCAGGAGGCATATGGGAAGAAGTATGTAAAGGAACTGTGCAGTGCTTCTCTGATGAGGAGGATGAGGATGTGCCTGTTTAATTCATCCTTGCATCTCACATCCTCCCTATTTCTTTTTTCTGATAGGAAAGCTAGTTTGCCTGGTGCATTGCATGAATGTAGCTGTTGATGCCGTTGAAAACACCCGATGTATTTGGCTCTCACTGCTGTTCTGGGCCTTTGCAATGCCGCAGGTGAATGTTGGCTGCCTCAGTGCACTTAGTGCTAGGAAATCCCATTAATCTTCTCCAAGTGCCTAGATGATTGTCCATTCCTGAAATCCCCCAGGAAACAGAGGGTTGTTTGGCAACCAGTTTATGTCATCAGATTCTGCTTCCAAAGAGAGCTGAAATGAGTAATCCCCTCTACAAAACTGCTCCAGAATCATATTAGAATTGAATCAGTGCTCTCAGAACCCATTAGGAGCACACTCATACCTCTGCGAGGCTTTCTGATCTCATGTGTTGCTGGCTGTTGTTTCCTTTGCAGTCAATAAGTGTGACATGCTAATGGTTGGTTGGTCAATATGCAACCTCGAGCTGCAGCTTCTCAATGACTTTGCAAAGAAGCAAGTAGATCTTGGAAGTTCCAGGGGAGCTGAGGTGGTTCCAGTTTTATCTCTTGGTGTGTCTCAGCTTAGCTTATTCGTGGCTGAAGGTTTTTTCTGCTATAATTTTGTTGTAAGTGGCACACAGTTTAGTGATGCATCTCTAACCTATTAATAAAACAAGTGACATTGACATATTTGGAGAACCCTTGCAGAACGCAAGTGCTTAATGGGTTTATCGAACACCTACTTTCTGCCCATGCTAGTTGCCCACTTTTTTCCTGATTAATTCTCCAAGAAGGAATTGATTTTGAATGACATGAGTACTAAAAGCTGTAGGATCACTTCTTCTACTGATCCCAGTGGTATATTTATGGAAAAAAATATGGCTGATCTGGTTAGCACTGTGACGTGAGTGCAGCAGTTTTTCGGGCAAGATACTAAGCAGTCTTGCTGATGGAATATGGAGTTCCAATTCCAGCATCATGGTTCCATGTTTAGGGAACTCTGCAAAATGTGATGCCATGACACCAGCTGTTATGGTGGAAAAGTTTCTTTAAAAAGTTACAACTAAAAGCCTTGATACTGCAGTGGTAATGGACTCTAATCTTACCCACAAATAATTGCAAAATATTGCTCAGGTAAGCAGGTTGAGTCAATAAATGCAATTCTGCCTTTTAACAAATACTACATCTTTGAGAAATTTCAAGCTTCTTGGCTAGTGTGGGGGAAATTGTTAGACAAAAATGGATATGCCTTGCAGTTGGAGGTACTGGAGAAGGAACTGGGTACTGAAATATGGGGTAGTTGGACTTTCACAAGCAGCTACTTCTCCCAAGAAACCCAGGCACACTCAATCAGGCACTGCCTCAGTTGAGGAGCCAGTAGAATCCAGTGCCATATGTTAAGGAGGGGCATATATTAAATCTCCAAGTGTTCTGGGTTTCAGCTCCCGCCATTCTTGAACTTTGGCTGTGCCCGTGAGTTGATGCATCAAATATCTGGCAATCTACTTTCTGCTGTTCTTTGATTCTCTTGACATGTGCATGGGAAGGGGGCATGTCTGTGATTACTCTGTGGCCATAAGTTTTCTGAGAAAAAGAATTGAAGTCTTTTGTAGAAGTAACTTGGAACTTCATGCATTTGTGGTCTTGCCATTTTCCTTATTTTTTTCTAGATGAGGGGCTTTGTCTCAAAGAGATTAAAACTATTTTAGTCATACCAGGAAATGAACAAGTTTCACAGAGCTTCATGATTCATGATTGTATTTTCCCCTTCTTAGGTAGCCCGTCGTTGGGGAATCCAGAAGAATCGGCCAGCTATGAATTATGACAAGCTCAGTCGTTCTCTTCGCTACTACTATGAAAAAGGCATCATGCAAAAGGTAAGTGGCTCAGCTTCTTGTTCTGAACAACTCTGCTACGTGAGGAGATGGTAGCTATAAAAGAACAGTCTTTGGCTCATAGATGACTCATTTTTCAGGACTAGCCTCCTTTCAGTTCCATCTTCATAATTAAGAAAAAGCAGCCAGCATACTCTTTCTTGGTGTCTTTCCAATCAATATACAGTCCAAAAAAAGCAAATCTAGTTCTCGTGCATTTGCACAATCTACATGTTTTCCTTCAGGAATGTACTTTTTTATGGAAATACTTCATTTTCTAGATTCCAAGGCACAGTGTAACAACTTGAAATATGGCTAATAATATGTATTTATTATCATATTTATATTGCATCTTATTTCCTCTTGCAAGGAAACCAGGGAAATGGATATAGTCCTCCCTTCCATTTTATCTTCACAGCTATCCTCTGAGGTAGATTAGGCTGAGAGTCAGTGACTGAACCAAAGTCACCCTGTGAGCTGCATGGCCAAATGGGAACCAACACCCTTCCTGCCACCAGACCACACTGGAGAGTTGCAGGGGAAAATGAGATTGTTCTGTCACCTGCCCACCCACCTGCATCCTCATTTCTCTTGCAATTGGTGCATAGAAAATAATGAGTCACAAGTCTTGCTCCTTGTTGCACCTGGCCATTTTCTAGCTGCTCCCTCTTTCCTTTTTCATAGTGTGAATTTTCATTCAGGTGACAATTACTTGGTAAATGTATTATCCTGCATGAGGCAAAATGTAACTAGAGAATGGATATATCTTATGTCCCTATGGAAGATCCCTAATTACCTCTGTCCAAAAAAATCCATTTTAAAAGGAAGCCTGAGTTGTGACAGCTGTCAAAACTCCCTGCCCCTGTAGAAGGAGATGACTTACATGATGTCAACTTCCTGAGCATTTAGAACCTTGGAGAAAAGTAGAAAGGATGCCAGATGCTGAAAAGGGTCATGACCAGTCAAAAGAAGTAGAGGACCTTACTGTGAAAGGGGTGACCTACTGACCACCCCCTTTTGCAAAGATCACTCATGGCTCTGCTTTCCCTTGATAGCTCCTCTTCTGACAGCTTTTGGAGGAAAGCAAAATCCACAGTAAACCTATTTGCAGCTTCTGGAGGTCAGTGCCCAGGGATGGTACCTTGATATTAATTATCACTCAGGAGAGTGCCCATTCAAGACTTCCCCTTTTTGGACTAGCAGAACTGTACACCTCCACAGTTGCACAAGGCCAACTTAGAAAAAAATAACAATCTGAAAAAGGCACAGCAAGCAAAAAAGAGCTCACAATTGCATCAGGGGGCACCAGGGCAGTTGTTGGCACTTTGGGGCTCTTGTAACTGGCAGCAGCCCCAACAAGCGTGGCATGAGTGGTAATGTGCTTTTGTCATTCTTGCCAAGCAGCTCCCTGGCTGATTTCTTCTGCCCATGATTATTGAGTTGGTCTGAATCAGTCAAAAGACCAAACTTTCAAGGCATGACATCCCAGCATGGGGATCACAACCTCCAGAACATGCCATGAGTCATTGCCCTCAAGCAAGTCACCCTACAGGATTTGGTCCAAGTTTGCATGACACAACAACCCACTGAAGTTTGTCGCCTATGATGGGCTGTTGCATTGTGTTAACCCACTTTATGGCTCTCAGTACTTCCTCCCTGCAATATATTTCTTCTGGAAGGGAATATTGCAAGAGCTGAGTAGACTGTTTTGAAAATAAAATACAGTTCTACAGCAGAAAGACAGAGTGTTGCCCAATCACCAGAAATCTTGCTCAGATTCCATCCTACTCACTTTCTGTCTTTTTAATCTTAGGGACTAGAAATATTACTTTTAAAAAAAAGGATATCGTAGAACTATTATATCACAATAACTCTTCACTTCTTGTCTATCCCAAATAACTTTGTATTTTTCATTCTTTTGTGGCAATAGATCCATATCTCTCTCTCTCTCTCTCTCTCTCTCTCTCTCTCTCTCTCTCTCTCTCTCACTCACGCGCACACCACTGCCCCTTCTTCCTTGTATTACTGTAATTCAGGAACAGGTCAGAGTTGATGATCTACTGACTCTCTGAGGGATATACATCAAGGACCATTGTTTTCCATACATTCAATAATAGCAAGGAGAATTGCATGTAAAGAAGACAATCTGTCACACCTACCCTTGTTCTTAACTGTTCATAAATAGGTTGCCTTCACCTAGCCTTTATTCAGCCCAACTTGTTAGATCAGGGACTCTAATGACTAAGATAGAGAAGGTATGGATCATGCAGTGCGAGTGGTAATTGACTTGCTTGCCTACCTCATTCTTCCATGCCTGCCTTTGATTAGTAGCCCTCAGGGTTCTGGTGGGGCTTCCAGCATGGTGCCCATGCACACCAGTGTGCCTTTGAACACCTCTGTTGGTGCCTACAATACCTCCTAGTTTTTATTTTATTTTGCAAGGTTCTTGCAGTTACTTTATCTGTTGTAACTGGCCAGCTGGTATAAGGCAAAACCCAGTGCTGCCTTTCAGCAATGTCTGTATTTGGGCTTAAAAGAGTGGTTTAGTGCTTTGGAGTTGAGACCCCACCCCTGCCTTTATTCTTGCGGTCCTGGGCAAGTTACTTTTCTTTGCAGTTTACCTTTGAAGAAAGGAGTGCCTGGTGAGTGGCCAAGTTGTCATGTCCGCCATTTCAAAACCAGACAGGTTCACATGCAGTATTAATTATGTGACACATCCAGGGCTTTTTTTGTCATGGAACGCACCGGAACAGCGTTCCGGCACCTTTTTTGATGGATTTTTCCAATGGGTTTTATGAAGTGATTTTGAATCGCCTGTCGAGCGTAGCAGGTCAGCGGCAAAAATCATTAAAATAGTGCCTGCGGGCTGCTTGTGTGTCCGTGCTGATTGTGAGGGTGCTGCTCGGCTTGGGACGCTGCTCGGCTTGGAATTGGTTGTGTGGTCGTGTGCTGAGTGCTTACTGCCGGCGACGACCATTATGTTTATGTGTGTGTAGAATGACTGGCTACGTGCAAAAGGTAAATAATAACCAATTTATTTCAAAAAAAGTTGGTGAATTGAAAATCTTTTTTAGTGTAAAAGTGTGACTCCAAGACATGAGTTCCAGCACCATTTTTTTTTTTTTAACAAAAAAAGCACTGGACACATCCACAACACATGTTCACATTCCAAATGGTTCTCCTGACTAAAACGGTAGATTCCACAAGCCCAAACTCAGCCCTAACAGAAACGTCTTCCTTTTCTTCCAGGTGGCTGGAGAACGGTATGTCTACAAATTTGTTTGTGATCCTGATGCCCTCTTCTCCATGGCCTTCCCTGACAACCAGCGCCCATTTTTAAAAGCTGAACCAGACTGCCACGTGAATGAAGATGACACCTTACCTCTGACACACTTTGAAGATAACTCTGCATACCTCCTGGACCCGGATCACTGCAGCAACCTCCCCTATGCCGAGGGCTTTGCTTACTGACTTGCTCAACAGTGGAAAACTGATGTTAGAGACTCCAACTCCAACTAATAAGGGCAAATGGTTTTTGTAAAGAATTTCTGATGTTCATTTAAAACAAAAAACAAAAACTGCTCTTTGCAAATATTATCAGAAGAGCCTAAAATATGTCAGGGCCCTCCAACTTGAAGATAAGACAATAGCATGGCTAGCAAGTAGGACCCTCCAGTTGCTGATTGCTTCGGCTGCAGCCATGAAGAGTGACTGCGGGGAAGGGGTGGTAGTCCAGTGGGGATGCCTTCTGGGCCCTGTGGCTAGGGGCGTGTGTGACGTACAAGTTTGCAGGACTGGTATAGACCGGACATGAGTAAATTGTCAAGAAAATATGCTATGTAACGACGACAATCCTTGTATCTACCTTGTATAATGGAAAGGGCTTGGATTTGCAGCAGGAAGGAAGATCAGGTGCAGTGTAAGCCCTTCTGGAATGGGTCATGGATTAGTGAGGTGCTTCTGGGATGCCTGAATTAGCCCGGCCCACTCTGGGCTCTCAGTGCACAGCTCTTCAATCTGAGGAAGCCTTTTCTTCCAGTTCTTTCCTTTTTTAAATTTGATTTTGCATTCATGTCTTGGCCTGTAATAAGCAACTCACACTAAAGGACAGCACTTAAAGCACCAGATCCCCATGAGCCCAGTGGACCTTGGCCGCCCTCTCCATTACAAGGCTGTGCATGGATGGCTTGTTGCTTTTAGTGGGGGACATGGGGAGGGGGATTAGCCAGGACTCTTTTTATGCTGAGGGGCAACATTTGTAACCAGATTTTTGTAGATTTTTTGTACCTAAGGCAGTTACTCCTTTTGGCAGCGCTGCCACTTTCTTGCTTCGGGTGGCACCCATGCAAAGGGTGCTTGATCTTATGGCAGGGTGGCGGAGGAGGCCCCGCAGGTATGTAATGCTAGGCAGCCCCAGCCATTGAACTCCCCCGGGTGGCCCAGTTCCAACCTGACGGCAGCATACTGTCTTCTTACTGCAGAGCTTACCTGTTTTCAGCTCTCCCCGAGTGCGTGAGCCAGAGACACAAAAGGTGTACACAAACATACCTGTAGCCTAACTGTAAGTTGTGCTACACTCTTTTCAGATGCTTCATGCAAGTTGAATATTTTAAGAGGATTTTTTTTAGAAGACAAACCCCCCCATAACTTGGATTTGTAAAAATTTAAAGAAGGGGAGGAGGTGCAAGTTGTTCAGTGTGGGTGTATACACACACGCGTACGCACGCACACACACATATATATATATCTGGATCCTTCAGAAATTCTTCTGACCCTCATTGGAATGCACCTGTAAGATGCTTGACCCAAATATTATTACCTTTCCCTACAGGCTCCTACCGTATTTTTCGCTCTATAAGATGCACCTGACCATAAGACGCACCTAGTTTTTAGAGGAGGGATCCATGGAAAGCTTCCTGATAATCACAGGCACATTCCCCATCACTTCCCCATGGGCTTCATTAAAAGACGGGTTGCCATTTGAAAACACACACCGACCTGTGATTAACAGCTCTCACCTGCACCGGGGGAGGGAGGCGGAGCAGGGTGCGCTGAGCGCGTGCCGGCCAGGTGTGGTGCAGCCGGGCTGGCAGCGTGCCAGCGGTGGCAGGTCTTCCCAGGCAGTGGGGGTGAGCAGTCCATCTCTTCGTGCGGCCGACGAGTTAAAGCCTGCAGCTGCTGCTCCTCCGCACGCCTCCCCCTAAGCGGCACAGCTCTCGCCTGTGCCGGGGGGGGGGGTGCGGAGCAGGGCACGCCGAGCACGTGCCAGCCAGGTAGTGCCACATGGTGCACGCGGGCTGGCAGCATCCCGGGCGTTGGGCACACACACATTCGCTCCGTAAGACGCACAGACATTTCCCCTTTTGAGGGGGAAAAAGTGCGCCTTATAGAGCAAAAAATACGGTATATATATCTGGATCCTTCAGAAATTCTTCTGACCCTCATTGGAATGTACCTGTAAGATGCTTGACCCAAATATTATTACCTTTCCCTACAGGCTCCTATGTTTTGTTGTAAATGCTGTATAGGATTTCTTTTTTTTTTTTTTCTTGTCTTTGATAACTTTGTTTGCTGGGTTGGGTTTTTTTTTTTGGACTAACTTCACTTTTTTAAAATATGAAGATTAACTCTTTGTAGATGACTCAGCACCTCCCCCCAAGAATGTATCATGTGGCCTGTCACAAAGCACAGGGCAGTGGCATATGCTGCCACGTGCTCCCCCTCCCTATTTTGGCCCAGGGCTTAACCAAACCAGTGGGGTTAGCTGTGTTTGTTTTCATTTAAAATTTTGGTATGGGAAGTCTATAGTACAGAAAGGGTTAATCTGAGGATTGATGTGAAATGGCTATTGCCTGAGCAGGGCCATATCGTATATCTCCTGCAAAAGCTGCATTACGTTCTGTACTGTGTACAATAAAGAATATTTGCTTTCTGTTCAGGCATCACCAGCCCGCCTCTCATTCTCTTGCACTTCATCACTGCTGTGCAGAGGTGGACCTGGCTTGGCTTGTTTCGGTGCTTGAGTTCTGGATTTTACATCTGCATCTCCTCCCCGCCTCTGTCACTCAGAATGCCTCCAGAGAAGCAAGTTTGCTTTCTGCGACGATCGGGATGGTTCGGTGCGCAGTCCTATGCTTGTTGAGACAGAAAAAAGCTCTGCTGCTCCCCGCATGCCTCGTGGATAGGATGCACCCTTAAGTAGTTATTGCTCATGCTGGATACCACAACCTTGGGAGGCAGCAATTCTGTCTGCCATGAATCTCTGCTCTCACAAGATATTTTGGGTGGAAGTCCAGCAACATGTTCACCACCACAGTCTGTTTTCTGTCTCAAACACCCCTCCCTCTTGTCCCTTCCCTTCTGCCACTTCAGCAACCAGCACATCCATGCAAATAGTTTTGTAAATTGAAGGATACATCACCAGAGATACAAAGGCCTGGAAAAACAGATTTTTAAAAAATTTATTTCCTTAGTGGTTCCCCCCTCCCCCCACCGTCCTAGATTTGGACAGAGGAAACAAAGGCGGTTTTCTTTCTTTTTTTAAACAGATACCTTTGGATGTTTTCTCAGCCTTTGCATTTCTAATTGTTCCACCCTTCCTCTAAGGAACTTGGGATACTATACATTGGGTGTCAGAAACATACAGCACCCTCACAGAGCCCTTGATGCAGCCCCTTGGTTGTCTACCTGTAGTCCCTTTGGCCTCACCATTCATAGATAAAAAGGGTGAGGAAGGCAAGTAAGTGGAGACATGAGATAAAAATGGGGAGATGTACTACGTTGTGCACGGTGTGGTTCAAGCGGGTAAGATTTTCCTCCCTCTTTTTACAATATTAGAATCCAGGGTCATCCCATGAAGCTGATTGGTGAATGACGCAGGGCAGATTAAAAGGCCACTTCTTCACACTCGTGCACAGATAAATGATGAAATTTGCTCCACAAGATGTACTGATGTCCACCAATTTGGATGGCTTTAAAAGGGAGTTGGGCAAGTTATAGAGAAAGCTATCAGGGACTGCTAGTCCTGATGACTATATATGCTACCAGCAGAATCAGAGACCCTATGCCTGTGTATATCAGTTGCAGAGGAAATTGGTGGAGGGTGTGCTTGCACTCCTGTCTTGCTGGTGGGAAGCTGGCTGGCCACTGTGTGAACAAAATGCTGGACTAGAGGGACTCTTGGTCTGATCCAGCAGGGGTCGTCTCGTGTCTTATGTTCAACAAGGAGGTGGTAGACCCATGGAAGAAGACGACTCATGTAGGGCATCTGGCCAAGGCCTCATTTCTCATTAGACAGTGAAGGAGAAGGGCCTACCATGACTGTCAGGCAGAGAAAGATGAGAGAGTTCAGCCTCCCCTGGTAAGGAAGAGTACATGAAAGGGTTTGCTGCACAGTTAAGGGCACAATCCTATGGCCACTAGATGGTATCCCAGCTCCCACTTTGGAAATATGTTCAGAGGTTGGGGCTAGGGTTCTGCCTTCAGCGCACCCTCCCTCCGCCCCGGCAGTCAGTGCAGAGGTAGTGTGGGATAGGCTAGTGTGGAGGCTGTAAAGAGGAGGAACAAGTATCCACAGGTACGCAAGGATCTCCATAGTGCTTCCTGCTAATTAAGAGGGATGATAACTATAGATGGCCAGAATCAGCCTTCCATGTCTCTTGCACAGAAGACAGGGCTGCAGAGCACTCTGCAAATCCTTGCCATTGCACTCCTCCTGTGCTTGATTAGATGCCTATAATGCTCTGAGTCTGGAAAGTTACGGGCAACCACATTGGATGCCACCCTCAGGTAGTTAAGCTCAATGAGGAACTGTGGCTCAGTAGTAGAGCATACATTTTGCATGCACACGTTCCAGGTTCAATCCCTATTATCTTCAGGACTGAGAGCGACTCCTGCCTGAAACTCTGCAAAGTATCTGTGAGTTCATGTCAGCAGTACAAGGGTAGATGGACCAAGGGAATGACACTGCATATAGCAGTTTCTGATGTTCCCAGCTTCTGATGGCTCTGTTTTTACATATGAATGGCCCACATATGTAATATAATTTCAATCTGTGAATTATTTAAACATGGGTTGTCTGAGCAAGGGAATGTGTCCAGAATTTGTTGCTTAATCCCTTTAAAAAATCAGATTTCCAGGTTTTGACATCACAATAACTCAGGAATGGGTATTTCTTACTTGTTGAATGGGAGCAGAAGATGCGGGCATGCAGGAAGCAGTATACAAACTTGCTGCCACCTAATTCCAAATAATTGGTGAGTCAAACAATCTAGGTGTTCATGAGTTGTGAACAACTAGGGTATTTATGGATAACAAATCATGATTTGTTAGTGTGGTTGGATTCACACATCACAACAAACCAAAGTTCAATAGTCCAGTGCATGAGTTAGTGTTATATGTGCAGAACAGAATCTTACAAATTTAACTCTAAAAATGAGGAGCAACTTCTTATGAACAGGAACTGTATGAAAAGTTATATACCTGGATCCCTAAGTCCAAGGAGAAAAATGAAATGAAGTCTGTTGAAGAAACATTTAGCCCTGTACTTTTTCCTGGACAGAACATTGCAATACCACATTCAAGAACCTTGACAGACACTACTCTTGAGTATGGCCCAAGTGTTGTTGATCAATTGACCAGTCTGTCTCCCTCCCTCCCTCCCTCCCTCACTTAACATTCTATATTATTGTTGAGCTTTAAAATGGTTAGTTTTAAAACACAATGCATAGAGAGAGCAGAGCGAGATCCTTAAAATACACCAAGTGTGAAAGTGTGCGGCTTTGGTTAACAAGATAAAACACAGAAAGAGTTCACTGGTTAAACTTGGAATGTTTAATGGAGAATTGTAAGAATTCTATTGGTGGCAGGCCTCTCCAACCCAGAAAGAAAATATCAACAATATTGGATAGCCTTGTAAAGTCGCTCATATTCTAAATTCTGCTATATGCTGATGACCTTCTTTCTCAAGATTCTAAGACTTCCAAGTCATTTCTGACTTTGCAGTGGTGACAATGCAATCCTAAAGCCACAGGAGCACAGACTATTTCATATTCCAATTCCACCTGTAAGAAAAGGAATTACTCCTTTGCACTTCCTTCCCACTGCACTAAAACATATAAACCATTTCTTATATATTATGCTCAACATGAACTGACACTCTTCCACTGTATTTTGATAAAACTGGCTCAACACATTTCAACTTGCAACATTCTGATTCTCAAATTCCACTACTGTTTTGTTGTTGTTTGTTTGTTTTTAAGGTCTGAAGAACTGCAAACAATGCACAAGAAGAGAGTGGACATGCTCAACAGCCTTTGCACTAGCAAAACCATCAGGTCTCAGAAATGTAATGTATTTGTTGCTGAATTCCTAATATGGACTGGGAATTCCTAATTTAATGTGGTGTAATCCAGTGACAGATTCAGGCTGAGTTAAGCCTCATTTATTTGTGATTTACCATATTAATCTGAGATATTTATTGCGGGGTGGGCACTCTATAATAAAGCACCACTGAAGGGTTCAAAGAAGTCAGCAGGGACTAGCAATTACTAGAATCAATTAGTCAACAGAATTTATTTTGACCCAAGTGTTTTAGAAATGTTATGAAAACAAATGCAGCCATTCCAGCACTGGTTCCAGCATTAGTGGTTCCTTTGGAGAAGAAGAGGCTACAGTAGCACTTCAAGCCTGTTGCTTTATCTGTGTTTCCCTGCTTTCACAATAGTGGAGGTGAAGCACAGGGATGGGAGAGGTGAAAGTGGTGGGTGCATGCGTGCGTGTGTGTGTGTGTGTCTGAGAGAGAACACATGTACTTGTTCAAAAGCAGCTATTGTCAAGCCTGGTTTCCATGGTAATTAATATACTTTAATGTGGGCTATAGTGACAGCAGATTTGCTCTCACAAGAATGAGT